CGAAGGAAGGAGTAAAATTAAACATGATTCTTTTTAAGCATGAGAGTATGATCTCTCAATCTCTAATGTAGGCTCAAGTTCTACAAACAAAACTAGGATTACTTGATTTAGGGAAAAGGGGGAAAAGCAACGAGAAACATTAGTCGGCTGGAACGGAAAAATTTAAGCCACCCAAGTGTCAGATCTATTTTAAGTTCCAAATTTGGGCCTTTTGACCATCCCCACATAAAAGTTTGCATGCATTTTTTCTCACACATAACATGTATCCCCACTCGCGTAAACAATCAGACAAATATTGCAACGTCTCAAATATGACCACATAGCAAATAGTTATATGTATGCAACAATACCCCGTTCATTACAACAAATCGTTGAAAATGCATCACAATTCACATGATATGAAGAGTAACATATCTGAAATTCTGAACAACACATGCAACAACAAAGAGACACATACGCAATAGGAGAAAACTCCCATTGTAGCATACATGGAAAAATCATGGCAACACGTTACTCGTCTGTACACAATAAACATGTGTCAGAATACCGTGTGCAACATAAAGAAAATCTCACGTTCATTCACCTCTCATTATCAACACGGATGCATGAAAATTTAAGTGGCCTTCTAGATGCTTGCTTATGTCCCATTTGATAAAGTTGCAACAATAGAGAGAAAATTAGAATGGTCTTGCGCAATGTAACGCCCCGAGACCGATGTGCCAGGTGTCTTCCAGTTATTCGCTGTTGTTGCCTTGTCATTTGCTTGCGTGTCGCATATGTTCATGTCATCATCTGCATTGCATATCATGTCATCATGTGCATTTCATTTGCATACATGTTCGTCTCATGCATCCCAGCTTTTCCCCGTTATCCGTTTTGCAATCCGGCGCTCCTATGTCACCCGGTGTTCCCTTTTACCTCTTTTCGTGTGCGGGTCTTAAACGTTTTCGGATTGGACCGAGACTTGTCATGCGGCCTTGGTTTACTACCGGTAGACCGCCTGTCAAGTTTCGTGCCATTTGGACTTCGTTTGATACTCCAACGGTTAACCGAAGGACCGAAAAGGCCTTTTGTGTGTTGCAGCCCAACACTCCTCCAAAGTGGCCCAAAACCCACCAAAACCTCCTCCATCATCTCGGTCGTTCGATCACGATCGCCTGGCCGAAAACCACACCTCATTTGGACTCTCCTAGCTCCCTCTACCTATAAATATGTGGCCTTCCCCGAAATTTCCGCGCAGTCTAACCCTAGTCTTCCTCTGCCTCGCGCCACCGGACAAAACTCCCACCGCGCCGGACATGTCCGCCGCCCCGCAGCCACCTCCCTCCAGCCAATCGGATCATGCCACATCGCCCCGCCGCCGCTCCCGGCCACTCCGCGTGCGCCACCTGTCGCCCCACTTCGCCCCGCGCCCGCCGACCCATGAAACCCAGATCGGGTCCGCGCGGGCCCAACTCATCGCCGCCGCGCACCGGGTGCCCGAGGCGTCCGGCTCCTCGCGCCCGAGCCCCGCCGCCTAGCGCCTCCCCGCCGACGACCATCGCCGCCCACGCCTCCTCGCCTGCCGCGCCGCCCGCCTCTCGCCAGCGCCGCCCCGCACCGCCTCCCTCGCCGGCGACCACCGCGTCTCGCCGCGCCGCCCTCTGCCGCACCTCCTCCGGCCCCGGCAACCTCTACTCCAGCGAGCCCCGGCCACGCCAACCGTCTTCTTCCTCTATTCCGGCGAGGAACTCCAGCGGCGCCTCGATCCATGTGCAAACCGGATCTGGATCTGGAGTTTTCCTCGGGTTGACTTTTTCCCTCCAAACCTTAATCCTTTTTGCATATTTCATCGCATCGTAACTTTGCATCCGTAGCTCCGATTTGTGATGTTCATCTCAACGAGTACATCATTTCATCCCATTGCGTCTTTTTCATTTGGGCTCATCTTGATGCCCGAAATGCTGTTGGAAGAGGGCTATATGATGAATTTGTCCGGTTTGTTTCAGCAAATGGCATTTTGTCATTTTTGCCATGATTAATGTGTGCATGATATGATCCTGAGCTCTACATGTGTTTTGTAATATGCCATGCCATATTTACAGGGGTGTATGCCATGTATTTTTGTGATCTTTGTGGTGACTAGCACAAGCTTGTAAAGTAGCGTAATCGGTAATGCTGATTTCAGGGACTTAGAATTTCACTAAGTCCTTGTCCTTATTTTGTCGTTAGGCCATATGTTCATGTTGTTTCCTAGTGATCCGTGCCTCTTTTGAGGATGATCAGTAAGGATGCTTTGTTAACATTGTTGTGCTCTATCCATCCATGTCTTTTTTTGCAATTATGGAGCACCCTAGCTTGGGTCAATCGAGCTCTACTTTTGCTATTTCGTGAATCCTGGCAGATTGTTGACTTGTTAGCGATTTGGCCGAGGATGTTGCTATTGATCCGTGCATGCTATGTTGTTGTTCTTGCCATGTCTAGCTCCTATACCATGTCTTCTTGATGGGTGTATGCTTAGTTTGTCATGCCATGCTCTGTAGTGAGTGCATCGAGCTCGTAAACATGCCTACTCGTTAACTGATTTGCATGCTCCAGTTTCTCTCTAAGTCTGAGATATGTTTATGTTTTTGCCATGTTCACATGCTTGCAATTGTATTTTATGATCCCTTTTGGCTCAAGGTCACTAAGGGACTTTTGTTAAGTGCTTTGAGTAGCTTCATTCCATGCCTTGCCATGTTAAGTTCCTGTAGCATGTAGTTTTCATGCTCTAAAGTGGCTACCTGATGTTAAATTCCAGACTTGTGTTAATTTCACTAAGTTTGAACCTGTTATCATTTGCATTTTTGCCATGCTTATTTGAACCTGTTAATGGATGAATTAGCTGTAGCTCAGTGTTCATCTTTTGTCAAGCATCATGAGTGGATCCCTTCCATGTATTTTGTTGTTATGTTTGAGTGCTGTAGCATATTTATCTTGATGCATTTAGATGGCTACTTGCTGTTTATCGTAGACCGATGCCATATTTGTTTCGCTTGCCATTTCCATACCGTGCATCCGATTCCGGTGATCTTTATATCGATTTCAACCGAAATCACCTCACCTTTTCAGTGGCACTCTTGAATTTCCAAGTTGAGGCCAGGTTCAATAATTCCTTGTCAAA